CAAGACAGACAAACACACACACACACACACACACACACACACACAAGACAGACAAACACACACACAAACACACACCATCTTGTTGGTTTGGTTGTCTGCGACCGTTGGTAGGCGAAATCTGATGAATGATTTTTATCAATTTTCCAAACTCACACCAACCATCCACTTCTCTGGTCTCTCTCCCCTTACAAATGCGTGCAATTCACGCCTGGCTGTGGTAGACACAGGTGGGGGCAAGGAACGAAAAGAGCGACGTGAGCTGTGTGGGTGTGTCCTGGCCTGCGCTGGTAACAAACACGGTGTTGTGGAGATGACGACGCACGCGCGGCGGCAGCAGCGTCGCCTGGCAAGTGACACCGTTCATGCGCTGCATCGCAAAGGAAAAGGTGGTGGGCGTCGCATCCTCTTCATCTGTCGTCGTTGCTGTCGTCGTTGTCGCCACTTTGCTTCCAGTCAAGTGCTGGAGGAGCAGCGCACCATCTTTCGCTCGCTGTTGTTGCGGGCAGAGCTCAGGCGGGCATCGCATGTTTGGCAACGCACGGAAGCCAACCAGCTCATAGCCTGCTTTGCCAAACCCTTCAAACACGTCGAGCGCATGCTGCTGCACCACTTGCTGCGGTGCCTGGATCACTGCACACGCCACCTCCACAATACGCGAGCTGGCGGGGTCACGGACAGCACTTGCGCCCATCGTCGCTGGGTCCGACATGTCCAGCCACGCGCGCACACACGCGACACTTGCGCGCGCGGAGGCCACCGTTGGAGACACTGCAGTTGCAAAAGGAAGCAGGAACGGATGTGGGCAAGGAGTGGGAAGAGGGCAACGAAGACAAGAGCGTGCGTGGTATGTGTGTGTGTGTGTGTGTGTGTGTGAAGAGCGCGTAAACGTTCACACACACGCACACATACACACCGACGAAAATGTCATTGTCTCACCCCCAATACAAACCATACGCACACACCTGCAATGTGTTGGCGGTGAGATGGTGGCATCTCCACACTGTCGGGGCCAAGTAGATGCAAGAGCTTGGCTACTGCGTTGACGCGGCGAACGACCAGCAGCACCGTGTGCCCCATCGTGATGTTGGATGACGATAACGTGGACGGCGATGATGGCGATGAAGCCGACGGTGAAGGGGATGGTGCAATCACGGCAGTGAGGGTTGTAGCATCACAGCGCATGGCCTCACATAGCGTGCGCTGCTGTGACGGTGACACCGCGCCCCACTGCCCACAGACGACCTCAAATCCATGCTTGCGCAGCAGAGGCAGTGCACGCGAAAACGAGTGCGGGTGCACAGCAACAACGGTCGGCAGCGGGGCGGTGAGGGCAGGGTCCATCCACGACACGGGCTGTGGCAGCAGCGGGGCAAACAGGCGCGGCGGCACTAGCACCTCCTTCTCGGCAAAGAGGAGAGCAAGCTGCGTGTAGGCCTGGGCGAGCGCACTGGCGGCCACGCGGTCTTGTGGCAGCGATGCTGCGCGCGCAGCGGACGGCATGGCCCTGATCACGAGTGGTGGCGGTGGTGGTGTTTGAACGATCAACGTGAGGTGAGGCGAGGGTGATTGCGTGGGTATTGGATGGATTGTGTTTGACCAGCACAAAAGGAACGCAAGGAAACAAGGCAAGCGCAATATTGCCGTGTGTGTGTGTGCGTGTGCATGCGAACGGTGGCATCAGTGGCACGTACGTCCTGATGCGGGTGCAGCAGTCCAGGCCAGCGAATACACAAGCAAACAACGGCATCCTAATCAGACAACCAAGTCACGGTGAGCAAGTGGTAAGCCATGGAAACGAGAGCAGCGAACACACACACTCATACACACAGACAGACAGACAGACAGACAGACAGACACACACACACACAGTGACACAGTCGCAGGGAGCAACACCTGCAGTAGGCTGCGATGCTGGCCTTCATGTTCGGGTGGCCAATCTCGTAGGGAGACAGCACGCGTGCCTGAAACGACTCCACTTGTTGGATATGCTTGCAGGCAACCAAGACACACCCCGTGCTCTCACGCAAGACATCCACCACGCGCCAGTGCGCCTGCGCTGTCGCCCCTTGAATTGTGACGACGCACACGTGCGGCAGCTCCGCCAGTTCTGGCGTGTGAAAGTGGTCCGGTGTTGCACGCGCAGACACGCGCTTGTTGAAGGTGGCCTGGGACGGCGGCGCACCCACGCTCACCGTCAACACATCAACCTCGCTCGCCCTCAGCGAACACGCACCCCCTTCCATAATGTGAACGCTGGGCCGCCTGTGTTGTTGTTGTTGTTGTTGTTGTTGTTGTTGTTGTTGTTGTTGTTGTTGTTGTTGTTGTTGCATGTGCGTGTGTACGCTGTCTTGCAACAATGTGGCACGCTGCTGGGGCTGTCCGTACATCGATACGAGAACGGCAAACGCACTGGTTTTCGCTTGGGTGCTTGCTTGTCTCGTTGCTGATATGGCAGGCTGCTGCTGTCGATCGCTGTGCGATGGTGGGAAGGTGAGGGTAGTCGGGACGCGCGAATATCCACACGCGTGGATGACGGTACCTGCACGAGCCGGGAGAATCATGCGCAGTCAGAACATCAACATTTGAACGAGTCACAGGTTTTGCACGCACACACACACACACACACAAACACACACACAAACACACGCACGCGCGCACATACACACACAGACACACACAGCGTCCTTGTGTGCTGGGCGTTGTTACCGATCTCAGCGAGGTGCTGGATGACACTGAAGCAGATCTCAAGCGGCGCTGCTGGCGGGAGAACAACGAGCGCACGTGTCACCTCGGGTGCACGCAGCAGCGACCGCGATGGCCTGATATGGAGAAGGACAGCACATTCTCAACGGTAAGTCACCGTTGACTGCAACACACACACACACACACAGACACAGACACAGACACAAACACAGACACAAAACACACACAGACACATACACACAGACACAGACTCAGACACATATACACACACACACACAGACACACATAGATACAAACACACACGCGCACACAAAAGCACGCGAGCACTCACTTGTCGAGGTCACGTGGGTCGCGAAGCCGGGGGCCGAACCAGCGCACAACATCCACAGCCGGCGCAGCGTGTGCGTGTGTTGTTGAGAAGAGGAGCTGGTACCGCCGCTGGCCAAAGACGGCGTGCAGGCTTGCGGGGTCGGTGCGTTTGGCCAACAGCGGGTCTCCGGGCCCAAGCAGCGACTGGATGCGCGGCAGAACACCATTTCCGGCGAAACACAGCGCGAGCATTGGAATTGTGGCCGTGTCTCTATTGCCATCATTGCCTTTGCTGCTGTCTGCAGATTGAGGCGTGCGTACACCAACAGCACCACCAACAGCACCACCGCCGTTGCTGCTGCCGTTAGTGGTGGAGGCGACGACGTGCGACTGCAGGTCTTGGAGATGGTGATCGTTGAGCAGAAGCGGCGGGAAATCAGCGTGGAGTGCAGACGACAGAGGAAGGTGAACAACACGGCAGCCAATCAGCGGTACGTGCAGTGTGCACGTGGCTGTGGCCAACAGCGCAGCCACCGCAACGCCGCTGTTGCTGGTCGTGTACGGAAGCGCAAGAACCAGCGCTGTATCAACCTGCTCATCCGCCATCCCATCCACACCGTGCGTTGCTGCTGCTGCTGCTGATGGTGTTACCGTCTTCGCTGAAGCGCCTGGCGCGGCGGCATTCAAGCCCGAGAAACGCCTGACAAATCGGTGGTCGCCGGGAAATGCACAGAAGATGCTTGGTTCCTGTGCAAACAAAGCACCATCGCCGTCACACACGCGCACCAGCAGGTCCCCAACCGTCACACCCGCTCTGCTACCGTCAGCATCTTGCTCGTTCCCACAAGGGAGCGGGAATCCAGCCGCCAGCGCGCGTGCATGCACATCGGTGACCAATGTTGACAATTGCGTCGTGTTCAGGAGGTCAACAACTCCCTGGCGCCGCCCCTTGCCGTGTGCGAGCAGGCACCGCAGCCAGGGCCCGCTGCCGTTGTCATGGGCACTGCTTCCCCTGGCGCCTGCTGCTGATGGCATGTTGCCGTCATCGCCTTCAAGCTGAAGAGCACTGAGCGTGAACAGCGGCTGCTGTTGTTCCTGTTCCTGTTGGTGGTGACGATTGGGCGCAGTGGATGGTCGGCTGTCGT